GTGTGTGTGTGTGTGTGTGTGTGTGTCAGATCTGGAGGAACAGGTTTGGGGAGAAGAACAAGAAGTGTGTTTCCCTGTTGGAGTCATTGTGTTTGCCACTGTGAAGACACTACAACTGTTGAATTGTTCTTGTGATTATGGAGTCATGAAGTGTGTTGTCACATTCTTGAGGTGTGAAAACATGTGGGTTGACTGAAAAAAATACAGTGTTTTCCAATGTGTGTAACCTTCTCATCACTTTAATCAATACCCAGCCACAGAGGGATCTGCTTCGCTGGCACAGGACATTTCTCTTTTGTTGTTTACATGTTCATCTGCTCTCTGCTTGGCAAACAAATTACAATATGTGCAAGTCAGTCCTCATTCTGTGTTCCACATGCCAACTCGTATCAGTTACTTGTCAAGTTCAGTAATGGGTTTGAAAAAGCAGTGGAGCCTGTGTGAACCAAATGCCCTCTAGTCCAGAAAAAAAATGCAGCGTCTACAACATTAAATCGTCTAATCTGTCTGCCAAGTAGACTATCCATTTTCCCCGTTTTTTTTTTTCTCAGGATGTGTAAATGCAGTAGGTTTGAAGGGGAACTTGAAGTTCAGGGGTTATTTGGAAAACAGGAAAATGTTATTTGAACTTTTAAGGGAAAGGAAGAGGACAGGAGAGAGGGAAAAGGAAAAGGGTGTTTCCTGAGTGTTGGAATCCTTCTGTGTGGGGGAATTTAAGACACTTTAGTCTTGCTCATGGACACCTGGTTCTGTCCTTGACGGCCCTGTCAAAGCTGAAAACAGACTTAATTATCTGCTTATGATGCTTTTGATTTCACGTTATTTTATGCACCAAAACCTCTTAGTGGCTAATATTCCACTGCTCATTTCTTGTGATGCTGGACGACATGAAGGTCACAAATCATTGGATTTCTTCCTGTTTGGCTAAACCCCAAGGTACCATAGCTCATGTTATGATCAGAATTATGGATTTAGTACTTAAAGTATGTGTCTCCAAATGGATTACTTTGAAAAATACAACAAAACCACACCTATTATGCAAGTCCAGTCTCCACAAAGTGTTTCCGCCTGTCAGTGTGCTTGTATTTATGAATTGAGAAACCATCCAGAATGCTTAACATCATTACAACAGTGTTTTCCTTGAAAGTAACTGTATGGGTTTCTATAGCCTTTAACCATACTTATACTTACCTGTTCTTGCTGTCGTCTAACATATGTGGGCATTTCATTGTGCTCCACTTCTCATTCCTTGTTTACAACGTTCAAGATTATTTGGAAAGAACGCAGGGTCTTAAAAAGTCTAAAAAAAAATGATCTAAAAGTCAGTAATTGGAATTCTAGTTTTGTTGATTTTGATTATATGCTACTTATAAATTGTTCTTAAATTTGTTTTGTTTTTAAATGTGTTTGCTGCATGCATGGTTTATAATCTCTGTGTTGTAGTTCTACTATCCAGATATGCACACACTAATACAACTACAAACAAGACCAATGTGGAACTGATTAGAAACCCCTCCATTTGTTACATAGCCTCAGATTATTCCCTACAAGGCTACTTCACCTTACCCACCCTCAGTGGTTGGGACGTGTAAATAATGTTAGGACTCACACTTGACATAGGTCTTAAGATATATTCATCATGGTGTTAAAACCCTGTTGACACCATCTTCTTCCTTCTGCTGGCTCACAGATGAAGCTTCTGCTTTTGTGATGAATGTACAAGATCATGAAATGTAAATGTTGATCTGAATGCAGTGTGTATTCAGCTGTGAAATGAAGGCATAACTCAGTATGTCTTGATGTGATCGGGGAATTCATACTCTGAATATCACATGAGAGGAGTAGCATCGAGTAGCTTTTGATCTTAAGCTATAATTGTTTTGTAGTGAGTCAGTAATTGATGCTAAGAATTCGTAAACACCATCCACCACCAGCTAGTTAAGTAGCTGTATTGTATCACATCTGCTGTAAGACTATTCCCGTATCTATGAAAACACAAGTGGTCACAGAGTCCTCATGCATAAATAATCTCATTAGATAATATTAGTTTTCATGACAAATCCTAAATTGGCATTGAAAAATAATGAAGTAAGTAATTTAGCCATATTAATCGTTAAATGTAGATTTGACGTTCTCATGACATAATGTTGATCTTTTTTAGGCCACGTAGGTTATTTGTCTTGATCTTTAAGTTTAATTTTAAAGTCAAAGGTCGCTTTCTTTCCCAATATCTCTATTGATGATATATATTATACCACATATTTTCAGGAACATTTATGTACAAGAAAATTCTGAGCAAGAAAATCATTGGTGATATGGATGATTGTGCCATTTACTCTGATATATCAGTGAAGTGAGAACGGGAATGTGTCTGAGTCAACTGGGATGCTGCCATTTTAAAAAGTCAAAAAACTTTATTCAGGTATTATCTGTGGAAATTTAAAAAGATAATGTTAAAACTTTTTTAATGTACTGCTTTTACCTAAGATGACTTTTACCCTTAACCGGTAACATGATTTCATTTTCATAAAAGATTGAACTTTCTTTTAATCTTCCAGTTACCAACATTCAATCTCATCATGCTGATTTCCATATTACAGCCTCCTTATCTCAGTTCCCTCTTTGTTAGCACATGTGATTCTACACTCTGCAGCTAAGCTTTACATCAACTAGGACCTGCTGCAGGCACACAAACATCATTGATACAGATTTGTGTTTCCTTTTTCAGCAGGATTGTCTATGTTCAGACTCCAATCACTCTCCGAGCAGCAGGAGAGGAGTCTTATTTGTTTAGGGTTTGCATCTTCTTCTGCTGTTCTCCATAAGTGGCAAAATGTTCTGTTAACATGTAGATAAATGTTTGATCTTTCAGTTTGCTCTTTCATCTTTAAGATTTTAAGTGGTATACAGCACTGAACCTTGACTTATTGTGACATGAGACATAAGGTGTTTTTCAGAACCTGAACTTTTGAACCTGTAAAGCTTAGCTTTTAGTTTCTGCAAGTAAGACTTTTAGGATATATATATATATGTATATATGTCTTAAAAAGATAATACTGCTTGCACACCACTTAAAACACCATGACAGATGTTGAAGTCTGTATATGATGTTTAGAAGTGAGTGCAGCACAGTTCAGTGGAGACAGTAACTCGACACAAATTTGAATTTAATTCACAGAATTCAAATTAGGCCTTTTCTTTTGGTGTTGTTCTTGTTGGTGACATTTGATCAATGTCATTAAAATAATTATTAACATACTTTTCTGAATCCCTCTTTCAGGCCACAGAATATCGAGCTCGGGGCCACAGGAGGAGTCTCCAAAAAGGAAGGCAGCAACATGGAGGACATGACTGTGGAACAGATTACCATGAGGGCCAACCAAGTGACTGACGAGGTACCGAGTCACAAGAGCCACACAAACTCACTCACAGTCTGTTTCTCACTGTGATTCTCTCATTTTCTCTTTCTCCATGACCAAGTAGAAGCAGTAGGAAACTTCTCTAAAGTGATAATCTGCCTGAAATGTTTTAGTATCAAAGTCTTAAACAGAAGTGAAACTGAATGTTTGGAACATACTGAGAATTCAAGTGGAAAGTGACAGAGAGTGGGTAACGTGTGTAGTGTGAAACATTTCTACAGATGTTTTAATACTTTATTTTACAGATGAGTAATTTCTCTCAGAAGTTTCCTAAAAATAAGCTGTGAAAACTGTAAAGGCAACCAAACAGTCACAGTTTATATTCAGGATAACGTTTCCAATATTAAATAAGTAATAAGTGAATATTTACGTGGGTTTTAAATGAGCTTTGCTTTAAAGGAAAAGCTATTTTTGCGTATCTGGGCACCACAGTATGTAGTTAGCTCCCAGGAAACCTTCCGAAGAAATTATCCAGAAATTATACCATATTAAAATAAAGCTTTAGCCTTTTTTATTCCTTTCAATCTCTCTCACCTGCACCAAATTTAACAGCAGCTGTTCTCTTTTAAACTTTTTAAACCTTGAGGGAATGAGTACCTGATGCTAGAAATGAAGATGAAGGTGGGGTTTTATTTTAAATTACAGCAAAAAGACTCATGAACATAAGGTAATTGTCTTCAAACAGAAAACTGTATTTGTCTCAGATGCAAAACAGTTAAGATCAGGTGAACATGAAACAAAACAAGAAATAAGAATAGAAATCATTAAAAGAAAATTGTGGTAAACAAGACTTCACTGACAGAAGGGTTAAATGTTTAAAGGTTAAAAAATCTGCTTGTGAGCGCCTCTTAAGCTCACTAATGAACCCAAATGAAGACTATCACCTTCCAGCTGTAGTTTCATATTTGACGTAAAAACAGAAAACTGTTATTAATCTTCTAAATAAACTTCCATCAGAGAGCAGGTGCATGCTTTTTCCTAAAATGTCAAACTATTCCTTTTGATATCTTAAGTATAAAAACTCATAAAGCCATATCAGTACAGTTGATCGTTCATATGTTAATCTAAGAGTGTACTTGATCCAACAGTATTATTTAAATATTCATATTCAAATACTCCAGATTGATCAGTATCACAATGAAATAATCGTTTTAACTGTAGCCATGGTTTTTGGCTCGATTTAAACGGATTGAATAGAATGAAACAAAGACGTTTAATCTGGTGGTTTCTGCGATTTTGCATTGAAACAGCAGAGGGTGAGTAATTTTCAATGCATTCAGTTGAGAATTAGGCATCACTAAGAAGTGTGTGAGGCTTTACGCCTAATTTAGCCCCTTCCCCCTCTGTGTGAGTGTTGTCAGCTATATCTAAGCGTTGTTATTATCATGGAGATAATTGTTTAATCAGCACTGCGGGGCATCATATGATCAGCCGTCTGATTCAAATGGAGGCAGATTAATTTACTCTAGCTGGGCGTGTAGCTGTGCACGTCACCTTCTTGTAATTTCCACTGTACTAATTCTCTGTGGGGGTTTTCCTCTTGTTTTCCTGAACTGTGTTTTTTCTCTTTATGTGTGTTTTCCTTACTTAATCTTTTAACTATCTCTTTCTTCCTCCTGCTGCTGTCTGGTTGACAAAGATCCCGCGTGGGACAAGGCATGGGAGGCTCCTTCTGCCACTGCTACTTAACACTCTGGCTTTGGGTAAACACTCATACCTGACAAACTCAGAGCATGGCTGGTAGTGTATCAGGAAAACATCGGAATTTGGTATGATAAGGAAACACTGTCTTAAGGAAGTGTAACGAGACGTCTTATATAAAATATCATGCCATTCCCTGTGTCGCACATTTGTCACAGAAGTTCAACCTGGAAGATTTGTCTTAAGTCTGCGATTTCAGGCTTAATTAGTCAAGTCCAAGGATTTTAGGCGACATGATGTAATGTTTATCCACCCGAGTGATGTTCTGGCTAAGCCAACAGGAACCTGGCTGAGCTCAACATATTCCTCTCGCCAATTCTATGTTTATCTGTTTCTCAACTCGCTGATTAATGTATTCAGAGCAAACATAACAGAGAAAGAATAAGGGATCCGGTCCCTCTCTCTCTCTCTCTTGGTAACAGTTCATTAGCGACGGTAACAGTGGAGTCATGCCCCAGAGTTGCTTCCGTGCTTCGCTCCTTTGGATGCTCTGTCTATTAATAGTGGCACAAAAGTCATTGCTCACCTGAACTGACTGCATTCCAGTTTCAACGCTTTTTGTCTTTGTGCGTGCATGTGTGTTTTTGTCTGCGTCTTGTTGTAGATTAACTTTTGTGTTGGCCTTACCCATGTCATCTGATTAGATAGAATTTAGACAAAGCAACACTGCAGCTGTGTCCCAAAAAGAATACACGCTGCTTAGTTTAATATTCATGATGTTTGCACACTTTCATAAATATGCTTCATTTTTTTATGTGGTGTCAGTGAATGATTGTCAAAATAAATTGGCAATATGTCT